TGTATATCTGCTTGATTTATGCTCAATAAATTAAAACAAAGATAAATTCATTTATTTTTACTTTCTGTGGAGAAATTCATGAGTTTTTGATAATTTTCAGGATTTGAATTTTGAAAAATAAATTATTGTTTTAAATGAAGCTTGAAAGACAATTTGAAATGGAAGAAGTGCTAAACCAAAAGTTAAGTATAAAAATTCCAAAGGTTCAATTTTGAAGCAGAGCATTCCATTCCAATTCTCAGTGTGGGCATTCCAACACTCACTCAATAGAAAAGAATCAAATTACTTTATGACTACGGGCATTCCAACACCCATATTAGGTGTTCCAATGCTTAGAGTTTAAGCAGTTGAAAATTTATGTGCATTTCAATGTTGGCAACAACTAAAAAAATACTCAATAACGGTTTTTGCGTTTTCCAATGCTCATTTCAGCATCTCAATGCCCAACATGACCCAAAATCTATAAATATATGTGATGGAGTTCATCTCATAAAATCTCATTTATTTTTCTAGTTTTCAACTTTTTGATTTGTGATTCTTTTCTAGTTTTCTCTCAATTCTCTTCTAATTTCTATATTTTTGGAAGACTTTCTTTTGTCTATCCAAGTTTCTATGAAAATATTTTCTTTCTTTCTTATTTTTATGTTTTAATTTTTAAAAATATGCTGTTGAATTCTCTTAAATCAAGATATAATGGAGGTCATATTTAAACTTATATAATCTATTTTTTCTAATCAAGATATAATGGAGGTCATATTTAAACTTATATAATCTATTTTTTCTAATCTAATTCATGTATTCTTAATGATTGCATAGTTTAACTTCTATACTCGAATTACAATTAATTTGACCATTCAATTACATGAATTTAGAATATTTTTAGGCAAGAGACGTGTTAGTTTAAACATTTAGATTTAGAGTGAACTTTTTGATTTTTTTCTAATTGCCTAGACATAGAGATTATGAAAAATTAATGAGATTCTTTTAATTTATCATGACTCCTTTTACAAAGAATCAATAACATCATACATCATTGTTCTTTGTATAGATTTATCCATGAGATAGAGTGTGTGTGTGTATATATATATATATATATATATATATATAGTATAAAAGATATAACTCATATTTAATTCAAAATAATTTTTCAGAACTTAAATTCAATATTTCAGTAAAATAACAAAGCTCCAAAGGCATTTTCATATAACAAAAAAGTTTATATAAGTATATGTATTTATAACAGTTACACTACATGAAGCTCAAAATACAAATTTATAAATAAAAATTACATTTCTCAAAAATTGTAGCTAAATAGTCTAGATCCACAACTAAGACCTAGACTAACAAAATGAATAAAGTCACAATCTTCTCAAAAAGTATGATAACTTCAATATTCCTAAGTCAGATCTTCTAGCATGAGAAGTAGGTGCATTACCTGTCACATTTGCTCACGTATAATCCTACGGTTATTGCAACACACACAGAAAAATGAAAGGGTGATTTTATATAACCAATTGTCATAATCGTAGAGTATGAAAATATTTTAGAATTATCTATACAGCTTTCATAATTCTTAGCAAGTAACACAACAATCTCAGCCAATTGATGCAGCATGTTCAACTTATTCTTAGTCCATCTAATGCAAATGCAACGGTTCAGTTTCAATTAGTTTCATAAGTCAAATATTCTAGAAGAAACTATTTCTAGTGAGAGCGATCCATCTTGGCAGCACAGTCATGTCTATAATATATATATATATATATATATATATATATATATATATATTCTCACAATAACACCGAGAATCTCACAACATTAATCAAGTATTTCAGCATATATTCTCAACACATATATCACAACTAATCACAAACCCGCACTGCTAATCATATTTAACAAAATTATCACAAAGCACTACAAATACACAACTCTATGTTCAACAGCCATACAACTCTTATATTTATACCTCAACATATGCAAATTCATATAATTCAAACATACATAACACATTTCAAAAGAAATAATACATATAAAAATATATGAGTATGACATAATTCACATTTCACTAAAATATGAAGTTTTTTTTAGCTAAAAATTAGGGTATAATATCAAGACATTAAATTTACTACACTAAAGAATTAGATCATATAATTAGATCTTCAAATTAATTAAAATTTTTAATTTTTATACATAAGTAAATATCCGAGTGAAGTTTAAATCCTAACAACATTTAACATTGAAATTTCATCTTCAATTTACATTTGCTTTATTTTATATTTTTGCGATTCTTAACTTTTTTCAAATTGCTATACAATCCATTTTTTTTTCATAATTTTACACTGTTCAATTTTTATATTTCTAAATCATCTTTACTAAAATTTCTTTCATCACTAAAGTGAGATAAAACTTTTAAAAATATATTCATTCAATTGTTTTATTTTTATCCTATGTCAAATACTGCTTTTTAGTGATAATTTTTTATAAAAATAATATTTTTTATACAAATTAAAATGATTGGTATATTTGTTAAATTTACTTTAATTAAACAAGCATAAAAAATATCAGTTTAGAGTATAAAATACGTAAAAAGTTATTTTTTTTTCTTTACCAAGAAAGTAAAATTTTGATTAACAAATACTCTTGACTAATTTTATATAAACCATCCGCAGGAGCTGCTTGTTTGTTTTGCATAAAACGATACTTCACATATGTTATCTTATAGTAGGTGATGCCTTAAATGTATACTTAGTCTACAACACTTAAACTCATAAAATAACAGTATATAGCTTACATAAGTCGTAATGATTTTCATATATCAAAATTTTATAGGATACTATATTTCAGGAGTTATTTGTCTTTACTCTAAAAATTTCTTAAAATATATAATTGGTCTTTAAATATAAAAAATTAAAGTGATAAAAAATTTTAATTCGATGATAAAATAATCCTTTGACAAAAATGATTCAAGATTTCCCCAAATCATAACTTATAAGAAGTAAAGTGATAAAAAAAACAATTTAATTAATGACAAAATTAAGAAAAAAAATATAATAACAATTTAAATCCTTAAATGATGAATTAAGAGTGTGCTTGCGAAACATTTTAGCTAGCTCAAAACTTATTTTACTAAGTAAAATATTTGTTTAGCAAAAACAATTGTTATTTATAAGGTAGTTAAAATGGGTGCTTACTAGTGTTTTTTCAAACACTACTACTATTCAGCTACTAGTTAAAAATATTTTATTTTATTTTTATATCTATTACTTTTTAAAAAATTCTTTTTACGTTTAACTTTAGCAAAACCAGTTTTATTATAAATTTTATTCAAATATAATCAAATCAGTAAATTTTATTTTATATGATATAAAATAATTGAATATATTCATTCGTATTATCTCATTTTATTCAATAAAATATTTTACATGAGAATAAATTAAGAAATTAATTTTATAAAAAAATATTATTATCAAATTTTAAATATTGAACTAAAAATTAATGATATTTTTTTCTATCATTTTACATGTATTACTTAATTAGCTTTACCAAACACATCGTGTGTTTGAATAACCATTCCAACTAGCTGAAAATTTATTAATAAACAAAAAAAATTGTTTAATACAAATAATGGTAGGGAAACTAAAATAGATAGTAACTAGCATATTTTTAAGGCTACTTTAACTAGTATTTTTATTTTAAACGCTAATTTTCAGCTACTAACTGAAATTAATTTTATTTTATTTTCATCCCAATTATTTTCTTAATTTCTGAATTTACCTCTTAAATTTTTAAGAATTTACTATCTTTATTAGTTTCATATTTAACTTTTTTAAAGTACTTTTGTTTTTAAATATTATTAAAATATAGCTAAATCGATAGATGTTATTGTTTAAAAATATAAATTCATTAAAGTAATAGTATGAATAAATTCATACTATCTTATTTTGTTTGATAAAAATAGTTTTAAAAAAATTAAAATTAAAAAAATTATTTTTAATATATAATTACAAAATTTTAATTTTTAGACTTGAAAAATAATAATATTTTAATCTATCATTTTATATTTATCAGAATATATTATAATCTTTAAAATACTTATTTAATGATACTTTTATTTTTAGAGGATAAAATTACGATTTATTTTCTCTAAAATTATGATGTTTCAAACATATATGAAATCCTTAATGTTATTATAATAAGGAGAAAAGGCACGTGACAGAGAACTGGAAATTAGGAAGTGATAGATGATAGATGATAGATGCGGAAGTGAGGCCAAATAGCCATAAGGATGCAGCCTTTCATGCCTTCGAACAGCCACTTTTGCTTTCATTCTATTTTCGCCGTTCATGTTCCCTCAAGTTTCTTGCCTGCCACTCTGCTTTCTCTTTCTTTTCTATTCTTTTGGTCAAAATCTCTATTCCTCTGTTCATTCTTCAATAAACAATTCATTCATACAATTTCCCCCCTCAATTTGTGGACTTCAACCATAACAAAAATATAGAACTAGTTTGCATTATAATAATATCTTAAAATTTAAAATATGAACAATGCTTTCACTTTTTCTATCATCGTATTGAAAATTCTCTTACCACTTTTTCAAATAAAAGAATTAATATATTAAAAATGATAAAGAAATCTTGCATTTTCTTTAAATAGTGACGTTAACAAAACATAAAAATAACAATTTAAGAGAGTGGGATGCATCCCCTGCTCGTCGCGGCTCACACCAACACGTAATGTTTGTCAACACAACTGTGCCCCAATGCTAACCACCACCGAAGCCAAAACCTAAATCAAACGCCCAAAGTGGTCCCCACAAGGCTTTCCGTACTATGGGCAGGACTCAACATGACATGAGAGTGAACACCTTAAAATTCCATCTTTACACGTATCCTCCTCCTTTTGTAGCCTTTCTCCAATTTTCCACACCTTACTTTATACTCTTTATATAAACCCCCCCTTCCCTTCGAAAGCAAAAACTACCCTCACACTTCTCTCACCTCTTCAATCCCCTTCTTCAGTTCCTCACTTATGAGTGTAGGAACGATAACATTAGAGCACAATGGAGAGCCAAGATCTTTCACCACCCCACGCGGATGCATCTCGACCGTCCCTTGGGTTCCCTTTAGGCACTGCCCTTCTCTTAATCATCATCTTCAGCTTGAGTGGCATCCTCTCATGTTGTTACCATTGGGATAAGCTCCGCTCCTTCCGTCAATCTTTATCAAATGAGAACCATTCCTCGCCCACCAAATCTAAACAATCTACGGTACCCATTTTAACTTTCAATTTTCTCTTTTTAGTCTCCTTCAAATAATCCTAAGTTATAACATATTATTTATGTTAATTTTTTTTAAAACGAAATTTGGGACACGGTGGGATGGTGTTGCTGCTGTATATCATAAGACATGATGGTCTAATTTTATGACTCTTGTTTTGTTTTTGGGTGTATTGATGGATAGGAATTGAGACAGAGCAGGGGACAAAGCTTGCCAGTGTTGATGCCAGGGGATGAGGTGCCAAAATTCATAGCACTACCGTGTCCGTGCCAACCCTCAAGATCAGATGAGGTCGTTGTGACCGTAGACTTGTCAGAGAAGCCACCACCCAAGCCACCCCAAATTCCAGTGCCTTTATATTTGTAACTATTACTTTGCTAGTGCCACCACACTCATCCAATGTTGTCACTGTTCGTTGTGGCGGCTATGCGAATGTATATTTGTTCATTACCTAGAAAATGAGATTAAGAAAAAAAAATGCAAACATAAATAAGGGATACGTAGGGTCGCAGGTCTATTTGTAGGTTTTGATGACAATTTCATTTGATTCAAATCCTTGTGCAGTGTGTAACTATTAAAGAGTCTCTAGGTGGAGGATATTGATTGAAAGCAAAATCCAATTTCGCTGTTTCTTCTTGAATTGGTTTTTTCTTTTCAAATACAAATTATGGTGCATACGATATTTACATAAATATCAGCTATCGTCAAATTTGATTAATATAATTAAAGCGGTATTTTATAATCTGGAGCATTTGGAACAAAAAAAAAGATGAAAGTGGATTTTTTTATCATGATTATCTGTTAGCACTATTTAATATCACATATTATCTTTGTTGGTTGGTAAATTCTTCTTTTAAAATCAAGCTCTTGATTGAAACGTACAAACTAAATTTTGAGGCGTGTGTGCAAGGACATACCCGAAATGGCAGCTTAGTTAATCGTAAGCACTTGCCTTTATGGTTAGCCTATGTCCTAAGAATGGATAATTGGCAATGCACCTGCAAAGGTGCATGCATACCTGTCTAAAGCATAAAGGGCACATATTCTTCAAACCAAAAGGCACTAAGGTGCGCATCCCCATTCAATTAAATCTATTTAGTATTCTCATTATTAAGATCATTTCATATCAATCTCAAGTATAATTGTTCTTTTTCTTGGTAATACTTTTTCCCAGTAAGGAATAGAAATGTGCACTTTTTATAACGTTATCATATCTTGATATTGGATGCCGATAGACTCCCAGTCCCGATGAAAACGCGCCACTATCAGTGATGAAATTATTGTAGGATGAAGGTGGTTAGTGATCCCATAAACCACCTCAACAGAATCAAAATCTCTACACAACTTCATTTTTCTTTTCTTTCTATTTTTATTTAAAGAAATATCTGTTCATTTAAAATCCACATTGTTTATGTAGCTGACACTAATTTATAAATTATTTTTAATGTTTTAAAGTCTTTTATTTTAATTCTTATACTAATATTTTGTTATATTTTAATTTCTATCAAGTTATAATACTTTAAATTTTTCATTTTAATTTATATCGTATTATAATACTTTGAAAAATGTAAAATGCAATTCAATTAACAATAACTTCTACTAACAGTGCTATAACAACAAAGATTAAAACTAAAAAAAAAAACTTATATGAAAATTAAAGTGTAATAATTTGTTTAATATATAGAAACTATTTTGTAGATGAGTGTTTACGGTAAAAAAATGACAGTTTGTAAACAAATAATCCAAAAATCAATCTGGAGATTGAATTTGGTCCTCTTTGGATTCTTTTAAGTGTGTTATTAACGTAACGGTAAAATGGATGTAAAACTTATCAAGAACAATGAATATGAAACACGTAAAACTGAATCACAGTATAGATGTTTTTACACAAAACATGACAGAACAAGTACTAAATTGCAGAAGCAGAAACAAAAGATAACAAACAAGCGAAGTGAACTGAAATTAAAGTGCAGAAAGATAAATATGCGGGAAAGTAAACGTACGACTCTTCACAATAGTGAACAGCGGCCATTGTGAGTCTCCTGGTAGCTGGTGTCTAGCGCGGTGCAAGTTTCAACGTGCAGAGGGTTTTAGGTACGGTATTAGGGTGCAAAAAGTCATCTTCCAGAAAGTGAAGCTTTAAAGTATTTATAGGCAAGGATCATCGCCGTTCTCCTCCTATGGCGGCACTTCCAAATAACTGTTTTCAATTGCTGATGTTCATTATTCACGATGGCTAGTAATCGTGTTGTTAGTTGGAGCTTCTCCTGTAACTGCTATTGCCCACGATCTGTCTTCATGTTGTTGAACCTTTGTCTGGTGGTAACTGTTGGTTACTGTTTGGCAGCTACTTTTAAACGTTACAATATTTTTTGAGTCCTATCAATCCTTTTATTTTCTCTCTTTCGAGTAAATTTTGGAAGAAATATAGGAGGCTCATTTAGCATTATGGCTTTAAAATATTTTCCTCTTGACTTCTCTTTTCGACTAATTTTGGGGATTTAAGAGCTTATCTTGGCCTCGTGGACTTTGAATACTTTCTCTGATCATTCCTGTTTTTCGAGCAATTTTGGAAGAGATACGGAGCTCAACCAGATTTGTGGTCTTAGAATATTTTCTAATTGCTTCCTGGTTTTTCAAACAATTTTAGAGAAAACCTAGAGTTTTGTTGGGTTTGTGCACTTAGCATATTTTTTGACAATCTTTTTGTTTTTCGAGTAATTTTTTGTGTGTCAGAAAAAAACACTCAAAAACTCCTCAAAAGACTCAGTGCTAAGGACTTAGAATATTTTCCTGTTATTTCTATTTTTTGAGTATTTTTTGGTGTAAGAAACCTAAGGACTACTCAAAAACTTCTCAAAACAATCCTCTTGTCTCATGAACTTAGAATAATTTCTGATTGTTTTCATTTTTCGAGCAGTTTTGGCTATTCTCAGTCCAGGGGCCAAAGACACCTCGAAAAAGCCTTTAGTTTTATGAACTTAAAATAATTTATTACTCATTTTTTCAAGTAGTTTTGAGAGAAATCAGATATGTGACAAAAACTTCTAAAACTACTTGAAATTTTCCTTTTTTGAGTAATGGGTTTAATCCATCCTTTAGTGCTTTCTTGAATTCAAGTTTACTTTTTTGTCCAAAAAAAGGCTCCTTCTCTTACTTTTTAAAATTTATAGAGATGATTTTTCTTTCAATGTAATTTTTTAACTTAAAAAATTTTCTTTATCTCAAACAGTAAGTATTAATTATAGAAAACAAATGTGTATTTTAACGAACTTTATATACTTATCATAACATTGAGAAAGATAATAGCAAATGCTATGCAAAGAAGTTAACAATCTTTTTTGAGATAAATAAAAATATTAATAATATTATTTTCAATCTATATGATAAAGAACGGAAGAAATAATAGTGAGAGTAGGCTTTTAATTTCAGCAGTACAACAGAAGCTGCATAGGGTATTTTGAGAAAGTGGGGACTGTTGCCCATTCCATGGTCACGAATTAAGATATGAAAGAATCAACAGTTGGAGGACATGATGAAGTTGATAACCCACAAAGAATTAATCGTATTAAAACGAGCCAAACTGGCTTCATCATGACCTAATTTCAATTTGGCTTCAACGTGAACCACTTTTGATTAATTAATTAATAAAGGTATTGTTGTTAGGAATAGCCAAGACCATGCCCCTGGTTTTGTTGGTGCATGAAGTACCGTAGTCCATAAAAGTGTACCTTTCCGTGATTGTTGCCAGTACATATTGCCTTTTCCACTACCCTTATCAAACAGGGTATGGAGACAACGTGTCCCCACCCTCCATCACTTGCTCTCTCTTCCAGATAATGCGCCCTACGAAATGATCCATTCACACACAACCCTTTTCTTTCAAAGGAATCATCTAATTCTCTCTCACACCGACTCAATTAAAGCAATGGAAAACGACGCCAAATTCATGACAACTGGTATCTGATGTATGCTCTTCATTTCGATCTCATTTCTTTCTTTCAGTTTCTTGTCTTTAATACAGAATATAGAAATCCAGGGTGGTCTAATTCAAATAAACACAGGTCATCCACGTCAACTATAAAGTCACATGCTCTTTTGCTCACGGCTCAATTCTTTCAGACTTTCGACAAGTGTTGATATGAACCCCAGTAAAAAAAAATTAAGGATGTTAAAGCATTGAAATTTGAACGATTAAGAGTTCGTTTGCTTCAAAATTAAGTAAAATTAATTTTAAACTATTATATTAGAATTAATTTTAACCACAAAAATTTATTAAAACGTGTGCTTTTATTAAATATTATAAAAAAATTAATCACAAACTAAATATATGTTAATTATATATATGTGTGTGCATGCACTGACATTTATGGTTGTGACTTTCTTTTTTTTTTTTTTTTGGGTTTTCTCAAATTCACCTTAAGTTATGAGAACCCTTTAACTTATATCTAATGTGACCTGAAATTTAGAAATTTTCTTGACACAACACTGATAGTAAAAGGACACTAGTTTTTTAAGGTTAGTTCCGAAAGTGTAAAAATATTGATAAATGAAATTTGCCGTAGAAACCTTGATATAGTTTTTTTAATAACATATCTTAATTGGAGTTATTCAAAATAAGTATGTGTAATTTAACACAAAGTCACTTTAACCAAGAATGTCTAAGCAAAAGAACATATTTTTTTTAATCTTAAACAAACACATTAGTAAATACGAGAGATTTACTCTATTCACCTAAATAATATATGAACAAACGTATACTGTAGGCTATAATATCTAATCGCCACACGTTAGATTTTCCATTAACTCACGAGTCTGTGAAACTACTATGTTGCAAACAGTAACACTTATGACCATCCCTCGAAGGCACTAAAAGCTTTCTTTACATAGTAGCCTTTACAAACTTTACACGATCTTCATCAACTTTAAGACCCTCGTCCTACCCAAATTGGAAGAGATTGCACTATTCATATCAAGGTAGGAGAATAGCTACGGTTTGACAAATCATTCAAGAAGTGAATAGACATTAAGATACAAGCTTAAAGAACTTTCAGTATGATCTTATAAAAGTCTACAGGGCAGGAGTTTGGGAGCGGTTACAAAGATGAAATGATAAAGATAATCATCATATTTTGATTCAGCAATCTCAGTATGTTGGCCCAAGATATAATATGATGTTTAGGTCTATAGTAGGGTGTTTGAGTGCTTGTAGACTGCTTCTAGCTGGTATGATTCAATCTTTGACTATTTGTATGATGCAAAAATATTTCTCTCATTTATGCCAATAAAAGTTGTGTTCTTTTTCTATTCTTTTTTATATCATTTTAAATTATTTTTTAAATCATTTTTTAAGTAAAGTTTCAGAGTTCACAAAATCAGTCTCTGTTAGGGATGGATAAATTTTCATCAACTGATCTAAACCAATAAAACCAAAAATTGATAACACTTATCAAGTGGGGTAACCGTAAGTTTAGGTAAAAATAATTTTAATTTATGATTTAAAATGGGCTGAATCAGTTGGATGTGAGTAAAAATTTTCTTAATAAATACCGCAAGAATTTCTCAAAATATAGACAGATTTCAAAGCTATATAGATAAATTTTTATTATTGTCTATAATTTATAGCCTGTTTTACC